CGGACTCTAATTCGAACACACCCTATAGATTCCATATTCAATGTCGCACCATCTATCTTTAAAAAGCCACCGTATCGATCTCCAATCCCGAAATACCTATTCCCCTCGAAGATGAACTGACAGCCCCAAGACCTGAACCCAATTACTCTACTTTAGTAGAGGATTACGACCCCTCACACACAACACTGCTGGCAATCACCAATCCAACAACAATGGTCAGCCTTCAACCACCCAACGACTAGTTAAAATCCTTGCAGCATCATCTCTAGTCAGAAAGGCGAAAAGCACAAATTGACCACCACTCGCCACCACCTGCACCCCTCTGGGAACTTCCACAATCAATTTGCCCACTTTGACATTCGTAACACCTCCATTCTTTTTTCCCCATCCAGCCCACTAGTTCCACAAAGAACGAGTCCAAAAACGAAACCTAGGTTGCCTCAGACCCCTTCTGAACCTCCACATCACAACCACCAGCCCCATGAATCACCATAGCCCCTCCAATTACTCATGCTCTCCTTTTGCTCTCACGAACTCCACCCCTTCGCTTTACCCATCCATTCCCAATAGCAAATCTTTCCAACAACAAAGCCCCCTTCCCATCTATCCCCAAAAGAAGATTAAGGTTGTTAAAATCGGGATCCTAGGTAGGATCGTAAGGTGAAAAATCAAAAAATCAACGATCCTACTTATGATCCTACCTAAGATCTTATACGATTCTACACGATCCCATATGATCCTACTTGCGATCCTATTATAGCACCCATCCTACAATGATATGGATCTTTTTAGCAATATAGGATCGTATCCTATGATTCGGATCGCGATTTTAATAACCATTCTCATACTGGTATAAAACTTAATGGATTATCTAATTTACTTTTGGTCAGGTTGTTACCTGTGGAGTGCTACTGATTGTTATGGCAATTGGGAATTTTGCAAACACCGTGCAGACACTAGTGGCAAAATCTCGATTTAAAGCGAAAATGAAGAAAACTAAAAATAAGCTAGAACTAAATTAGGGATCCCATCCCATTCCTTATAATTTGTGACCGGGAAGACTGTTGTGCTAGTTGAGTTTGTTTTTTTTTTTAATGAGTGAGACTGTACATGTACTGTGCAGAGAGGGGTGCAATTGTTCCTTCAATGGGCTATCATGCAAGGGGTTGCAATGTTTCTACAAAATAGATATCAACGGCAAAGGCTTTGTACACATATTGCACTCGGGAAGGTGTAATTGAAAAGGGAAAAAAAAAAAAAAAAATTCCTTTCACCAACAAATTTCTGTGCATGCTTCATTTTTGCCTTTATTATCTTCAGTTCTTTCTGCAGTCTACTTTGTGTGTGTGTCTGCACTTGGTTGTGTGCTCTTTGTGAAACCTTGTCGTCCTGCATGGTTTGCAGAACTTCAATGAGTTCTTTTGCTTCTGTTGGTTGCAATAACCATGTTTTTGTCTTCTAGCCGATCTGTGTTAGTTTTTTATGGCCCATCGAAATACAGATAGAACTTTTTTTTGGTGGGCATATAATGTTTATTGCAATTGTTCTCCTCTGCAGGTCTGAGATGACTCTTACCATTTGATCCCGTTGTTAATTACAGGCTAGGAGAATGGATGTTGTTTGGGGAGAAACTGCTGGAGTCAACGGTCAACTATGGTTGTTGGCACCCATTCTATTCATATTACAGGTGATTTAAGCAGTACAAATGCCTGTTTTGGGGACCATGCCCACAAAAGATCATATTAATGTATGCTTTGCCATCCAAGTCATGTTGAATCAAACAAACACTAAAGCGATTTAAATTAAGGTTGTTAAATATTCATTTTTTTTCTACATAACTTGCCAAAAGTTATGTACATGTATAAATAATTAAATATATATAACAGCTAGGGAAGGGAAGTTTTTGTTACTATCAAACATCATCACATTTCTTGAGTGTTTTCTTTCATTACTTGATGAAGTTGAAGTCATATTATCATTCTCTTCTAGTTTGCCATCCAACAATCCTAGTTTTATACATGTAATGCAACTTGCTCTTTCATCACAGCTCTCTCTATAATGCAACTTGGCTCACATGTCACGATGTCACCATGAAGTTATTTGATTTTTTTTTTTCGTTTTTTTCTTTGAAGATATTACGAAGAGGCATGCTCACCAAAAAAAGGAAAGAATCTGTACATCATTGCATGATGATCATTAATTGCCCAATTCTTCAGTGAAAAAAATAATGAAACACTACAACAAAAAACATTTTTGGCGACATTTTTTAGCATCCAAACTGAAATTAGTCGCCAATTTTATGTAATCGGTCGTTTTGCATTTTTCAATTTTTTTTTAAAGACTGTTCCGACCCTTTTACTGAATAAACAAATAAGCTCTAACTCTCCCTTTCCCTTTCACTCGCACTCGCACTCTCACTCTCACTCTCACTCTTTCTCAATCCACAGCCTCAAGCGGCGCAAAACAGAGGTATGTCTCCCTCTCCCTCTCCCCCTTACTCTTTCACACCGCCTCCTCCTCCTCCTTTTCGTCTTCGTCTCTCTTCCTCTCGCTCTCTCTCTCCACCGATTGATTTCCACCGACGGCATTCACTTCTCTCTCTCTGATATTTTGAAGACAGATATATATATATATATATATATGAGTATATGATAAATATATGATAGATTGTTGTCCTAAAATCTGTCTTCAAGGATTTATATATATATAGATAGATTGTAGTCCTAAAATTCTTCTTGAACGATTTATATATATATATATTAAAATCTGTCTTTTAAATATATATTAAAATGTCTTTTAAATTTTTTCCTCCTTTTATTGGAATATGTTGCTCTTTTAAATTTTTAACTAAATGCACTTTTATCAACGATGAATTTGAAATTGATTGATTTTTCTTCAAGCATGGAGTGATCTTGTGAGTGAACCCATTGTATTGTTTGTACCAGAATTATCCTATTTATGTATGCTCTAATGCAATTAACTAGGACTGAGAACCCATTGTATTGTCCATCTCCCTCTACAGATGGGCATAGGTCTCTCACTCTACAAATGCTATCTCAATCTGTCCATCTCCCTCTCTCTCTCTGTCTCTCATGGCGATTTCAAGGTCCCGAACCAAAACCCTAAGTGCTCCCCCTTTTTTTCTAGATTGGAACTTGAAAGATCTTCACCATTCTTAGAAAAAGTTAGAACTTTGTTTTTTTTGTTCTTCTTAGCAGACCGTTACCCCTCTCTCACCATTCTTGAGATTTTGGTGAATGGTTTGGTTATTTCACCTATGTATCTAGCTATTGTCTATACTTTCATTTTTTTCTTATGTTAGTTTGAAGGGCATCCCCTGCCCTAGTTTGGTTTCAGTGAGTAATGTGAAGCAGTGCACTTGAGAACTAATATTAATAAGACTTATACTAATATGCACTTTTACAACTTATATTAATAAGAATTATTTATGATGACATTGACTTGGAATTTTCATTATATCTATAGGTGTCCCATGTGGTATGGTTTCTATAGGACAAAATGATATGTTTATAGAAGTAATTATGCATTGGCTTCTGGATATTATGCCTTACTTTCACTGTTTTATGGGTATTAAGTGCCATTGTTTGTATTTATTTTGTGGTTCACATGCTTTAATACATTATTTTGTGTTTGAAGAATATAAAGTCCTATTTATTGTGAACAGAGGATGGTTAGTGATTTTTATATATTGCCAGCTAAATCAGTCATTCCTTCAGAGAATGAATGGTTCTTCTTTTCTTCTCGTGGAAGGAAGTACCCAAATGTCTCACAAAGTAAGAGAGCAACTAAATCTGGCTATTGGAAAGCCACTGGGAAAGAACGAAATGTGAAGTTAGGATCTAATTTGATTGGCACAAAAAGGACATTGGTGTTCCACACAGGTCGTGCACCAAAAGGGGAGTGGACAAAATAGATAATGCATGAGTATTGTATGAATGGAAATCCTCAGGTGATGGTGTTAATACTTTTTGACAATATTTTATATTCTCATAGATGGTTTGGTTATTTCACCTATGTATCTACCTATGTATCTTAGGCATTAATTAGTTTTTACTTTTAATTAGTACATGGGCAAAATTATAATTCTATTAGATGGAGTAAACAACACTAGTCATTATCATTTTATTTTTATTATTATTATTATTATTATTATTATTATTTATTTGAATAACTAAACTATTTTCAGCAGCAAAGAGTAGACACAAATATTGCAGATGGCTGTGATGCTCTGAATCTGGGTGTGGCTGCTGATAGCCTTTGGTTGTTTTTATTTGTGGTGTTTGGCTTGAGGTTTGATCTTGTAGTTGAAGGTTGGTAATGGCGAAGATTGCATACCTCGTAATGGACGATGGAATTTTAACAAGGTATTCCCTTGGTTTCGTTATAATAATGGAAGAGAAGTGTTCCAACTTTAGGTGGAGGGTTGCAGAAATTGATAATTCTTTTACATTCCCTATTTTGCTTAAATTCAGGAACTTTGTGAACTAATTTGGTAGTTAATTTTTCTTGTTTTATTCTTTTAAAGCAACTCTTCACCCCCATCCGAATAGAACGGTGGGAAGTTGTCAACGTCTCTGCTCATTGTGATACAAGTCATCTTTCCCGAGAACTTATTAACTGTGGAAGGAACAAGGGCATTGTAAGTACCCTATATTTGTTTCTGTGATGGGTATTATTGTTTCAAACAAGCTTTGCTTGATATAATTAATTGTTTTCTTTACATGCAGAATATTCCTTTTTGTCTTGAAGGAAGAACATTAGAATCCTTGATTTTTTTTTTTAATTTTTTTATTTTTACTATAATGCGTTGTTGGTTGTAGGCATCAGGCTCAGGATAAGCGGGTTTGTGTTTGCTTCATGATCCAAGCATCATAGCTTTTGTGTTGTTGCAGTTTTGACAAGTTTCTGGTTATGCACTGGACTTGTTTGTGGCAAGGTCTCAGAGAGGGATTTTGGGATTTTGGACTTGTTTTGTTTGTACTTAGCTCTTGTAAGAGTTGAATAGAACTGAGTCATCCATTTTTGTGGGGCCCAAAAATGGGTTACCCAGATCTATTTTTGACATGGCCTCTTCAGATTTTTGATCTTTGGATCTGTTGTCTTTTAAAATGAGGCCTTTGGCTGTCCTGTTTGCGTTTCTTCCTCTGTCTGGTTGATTGATTGATTAAATCTGTGTCAACAATCTTGAGATATAAATGTTAGTTTAATGTGTGCAGGAGGTAAATAAGATGTGGGCAGGTTTTAGGTTATTACAGACAGGCACGATATCTACTAGAGATGAGCTCTTTTTTTGACTCTTGTGCATCTAGATATTTGTAACACTATTCGATATGAATCTATTTCTTGTTGGATTTCATTTGGTATTATTTAAAAATGGCATTCTTAATGGATAGGATGTGCTCTTTCAAGTTCATCGGTTGACAGCGATGCTAACCAATTTCTTATTCTCTATGGCAAGAGACTCCATGTGAGCTACTAAGGTATTTGGTCTCATGTCTTGCATTTTATGAAATATCCATGTTGGCGTGTCACATGTTGTATCCTGTCTTTGTTTGTGCTTGTGTCCTAGCTCTACTGTTAATCATTTTTTTACTAGTTTCAGTTTCACCAATGCAGCAGATTCTGACGCTGTATCTACTGAATGGGAAGTTGAGAGTGATGATGAAAGTGAGGAAGAATCTGAATGTAAGTTTCTTAAAACCAGAATGTGGCAGATCCTGTGCACTTTCTTATTGGCTATTCCCCCTTTGTAGTATTATTTATTTGAATATTAGATATACTTTCCTTTCATTCAGCTCCACTTCTATCTTCATTACCTTCTTCCAGGTCTTATTTAACATTTATCCTGTTGACTTGTAATTTTTCTTTTGAATTCCACTGCATGTTGTATGCCTTCCAAATTATTTTCAAGCCTTCTTTGGGTGCATTAGTATTTGGCATTAGCACAAATGCACCTGAAGCTTCATTTGTTGTTTTCTCTCGTATCTTTGTGTTAGTAAAACAAATATAACTATAAAGATGTGATGCCTGGGTTGCAAATTGTTCTTTTTCTTACTAGTTTTTTGTTTTATCAGTTCAGCTGACTTGTGACTTTTTGCATATTATTGTCCTTATCTATTGGGTTATCATATATATAGAAAATAAGAATTCATTCTTTGTTATGTCTAATTATATCTGGTTGTTGACTTTATAAATCAAACTTTTATCTGCACATGTAATTAAGTACTTAATTAACTTCGTTTATACAGGTGGGTTAACAACTTTGGTTGGCATGCCGCTTAATAGTTTTTCATCTACAGTTTCTGAAGAAACTTTTGAGCTCAAGGTATGGATGGTTGAACTCAACTTTGGTTGACATGCCTCTTAGCTTCACTTTTTAATTAGGTAGTTAGAAACTTAGCTTCACTTTCATATTCTTATTGTACAAAAACTTGACCAACTATTGCCTTTTCTTGTTATCTTTTTTCCATCTACATAACAGATCAAGGCTGCAGCAAAGAGGATCTATGTTGATGTTGGTATGCTCTTAGAACTATATATGAGAAATCTCATATTTTAATCACTTGTTTTAATCATAGTAAGGCTGTGCTGCAATGTTAGTAAATAGACTTGTAGGAACAAACCGGACCTCTATTGGATCTCCGGTTAGAAAATTAGGAGGAAAATTGTAAAACACAAGACTTAAAATGCCCGTTCAGGGGCCAAAATTTTGAAATGACCACCGAAATCACAGAAACTTGGCACGGACAGCCTTTTGAAGCCTAACGGGACATGTATTGGATCTCTGGTTAGAAAATTAGAAGGAAAGTTGTAAAACACAAAACTAAAAAGGCCCGTTCGGGGGCCGAAATTGCGAAATGACCACCGAAACCACCGAAACTTGGCACGGACAGCTTTTTCAAGCCTAAATAGACTTGTAGGAACAAACGGGACCTCGATTGTATTTCCGGTTAAAAAAATAGAAGGAAAAATGTAAAACGCAAGGCTTAAAAGGCCCGTTCGGGGGCCGAAATTTCGAAATGACCACCGAAACCACTGAAACTTAGCACGGACAACCTTTTGAAGCCTAAATAGACTTGTAAGAACAAACGGACCTCTATTGGATCTCCGGTTAGAAAATTAGAAGGAAAGTTGTAAAACACAAGACTAAAAAGGCCCGTTCAGGGGCTGAAATTGCGAAATGACCACTGAAACTTGGCACGAACAGCTTTTTCAAGCCTAAACAGACTTGAAGGAACAAACGGGACTTTTATTGCATTTCCGGTTAAAAAATTATGAGGAAAAATGTAAAACACAAGGCTTAAAAGGCCCGTTCAGGGGTCGAAATTTCGAAATGACCACCGAAACCACTGAAACTTGGCACGGATAGCCTTTTAAAGCCTAAATAGACTTGTAGGAACAAACAGGACTTCTAATGGATCTCCGGTTAGAAAATTAGAAGGAAAATTGTAAAACAGAAGACTTTAAAGTCTCGTTCGGGGGCCAAAATTACGAAATGACCACCGAAACTTGGCACGAACAGCTTGTTCAAAACTAAATAGACTTGTAGGAACAAACGGGACCTCGATTGGATTTCCGGTTAGAAAATTACAAGAAAAAATGTAAAACACAAGACTTAAAAGGCCTATTCAGGGGCCGAAATTTCGAAATGACCACCGAAACTTGGCACGGACAACCTTTTGAAGCCTAAACAAACTTGTAGGAACAAATAGACCTCTATTGGATCTCCGATTAGAAAATTAGAAGGAAAGTTGTAAAACACAAGACTAAAAAGGCCCGTTCGGGGGCCGAAATTGCGAAATGACCACCGAAACCACCGAAACTTGGCATGGACAGCTTTTTCAATCCTAAACAGACTTGTAGGAACAAACGGGACCTTGATTGCATTTCCGGTTAAAAAATTATATGGAAAAATGTAAAACACAAGGCTTAAAAGGCCCGTTCAGGGGTCGAAATTTCAAAATGACCACTGAAACTTGACACGGATAGCCTTTTAAAGCCTAAATAGACTTGTAGGAACAAACGGGACCTCTATTGGATCTCCGGTTAGAAAATTAGAAGGAAAATTGTAAAACACAATACTAAAAAGGCCCGGCCCGTTTGGGGTCGAAATTGCGAAATGACCACCGAAACTACCGAGACTTGGCATGGACAGCTTTTTCAAGCGTAAATCAACTTGGAGGAACAAACGGGACCTCGATTGGATCCCCGGTTAGAAAATTAGAAGGAAAATTGTAAAACAGAAGACTTAAAATGCCCGTTCGGGGGCCAAAATTGCGAAATGACCATCGAAACTTGGCACGGACAGCTTGTTCAAGCCTGTATAGACTTGTAGGAACAAACAGGACCTCGATTGGATCTTCGGTTAGAAAATTAAAAGGAAAATTGTAAAACACCAGACTTAAAATGCTCGTTGGGGGGCCGAAATTGCGAAATGACCACTGAAACCTCCGAAACTTGGCACGGACAGCTTGTTCAAGCCTAAATAGACTTGTAGGAACAAACGGGACCTTGATTGGATCCCCGGTTTGAAAATTAGAAGGAAAATTGTAAAATACAAGACTTAGAAGTCCCGTTCGGGGGCCGAAATTGCGAAATGACCACCGAAACCACTGAAACTTGGCACGGACAACTTGTTCAAACCTAAATAGACTTGTAGGAACAAACGGGACCTCAATTGGATTTCCGGTTAGAAAATTGCAAGAAAAAATGTATAACAGAAGACTTAAAATACCCGTTCGGGGGCCGAAATTTCGAAATGACCACTGAAACTTGGCACGGACAGCCTTTTGAAGCCTAAATAGACTTGTAGGAACAAACGGGACCTCTATTGAATCTCTTGTTAGGAAATTAGAAGGAAAATTGTAAAACACAAACTTAAAAGGCGTGTTCGAGTGCTGAAATTGCGAAATGACCACCGAAACCACCAAAACTTGGCATGGACAGCTTGTTCAAACTTAAATAGATTTGTAGGAACAAACGAAATCTCGATTGGATTTCCGGTTAGAAAATTACAAGAAAAAATGTAAAACACAAGACTTAAAAGGCGCGTTCGGGGGCCGAAATTGCAAAATGACTACTGAAACCACCGAAACTTGGCACGGGCAACTTGTTTAAGCCTAAATAGACTTGTATGAGCAAACAACACCCAATTGGACTTTCCGTTACAAAATTAAAATCAAAATTGTGAAATTCATATTGATTTTTTTTTTTTTTGTCAATCTAATATTGTTTTCTTTTTTCATGTGATAGATTGGCAATGGTGGAAAACAGTTCGGGCTGCATCAGAAGATTTGATTGTGTTTTTGGATATTTTGACATAGGATTTTGGTAAATGATTTATAGATTTGATGTTTAGCATCAAAATATTTAGTTTTGTGTTTTTGAAAATATTTTGACATAGGATTTGGTAATGTATTTATGGGTTTGATGTTAGTAGTTTGTAAGTACTTTGGTATGTATGTTTTAGATTGTCAGAGAATTGTAATTATGTTTATTGAGATTTTTCATAGCTATTAATTTTGAATTAGTATAAATGTCTTGCACAGCTGTATTATTATTTACATTACATTTGTGTATATATTGTGCACAGGAAAATAGGTGTTTTGGATTATTTTGAACAGGAAAATTATTAAAATCAAAATTTGTGTAGTGAATTTTTAGTGACAGGTGGTGTTTTTGTCTTCGGTAATATATTTGGCGACAACATATTGTTTTTCTCGCTAAGAGTTAGTGGTTATTCTAAGAACTTTTAGCAACCAAAACTTTCGTCGCTAAAAACGTGAATTTTTAGTGACCAAATTAATTTTGTCGTTAAATAGTACTTTCGGCGACGTATTTATTTGTCGCTAAAACTACATAGCCTATCCAAATTTTAACCTTTTAACAACAAATTGTAATTTTATAACGACAAAATATATGATTTTTGGTGACCAATTTTGCTTGTCGCTAAATGTCTATATACGGTGACAATTTCTGATTTCGTCGCCAATATTTTTAGTGACAGGGCTTTGGCAACCAATTTTATACTTTGCCGCCGATTCTTTTAGCGACGAAATTTATACTTTTGGCGACAAATTTTTGGGTCGCCAAATGTGTTTTTTGTTGTTGTGATGACAGATGAGAATGATTCTCCTCAGGAGCTTGGCAAAGAGGGCAGATAGGTTGAGAAACAAGACCAAACATTTGCAATCTATCCCTAGTATTTAACCTCTCATGAATAGCTAGCCAAACCACAGAGCTAACCCTAGGTAATAGAGTCCCCCAAATCAGATTAGCCCAAGGGACTTTAGGACCCTTATCCCTCCAACAGTCCCAAGTAGATTGAATAGAAAAGAGCCCATCAGAATTAAGCTTCCAATAGGGTCTATCCTGAGTCTCACTACTAGGCCTAAATGTTGGAGGAGTGGAAGAGATCCACTCCCTAATTTCCCAAGAGTTAGCAGTTGGCCATTTGCAAAATTTGAGATAATGGAGCTAACTTTGGTATCATAAGGAAAACCCGTATCATAAAGAATCCTATGCCCAAATCTATCCCAAAGAGAACCAAGGGATGCTAATTATCAAATCACAAAAAAACATTCTCCCCATTACCAGTCTTAAAGTTGATAAGAGGATTGATGATCTTCTTAAGAGACAGAATTTTCCTCCAGACCCAAGAGGGGTCACTAGGTATTTTAACATCCTAATTAAAAATAACGCGCTCAATATGTGGAAGAATAAGGGTCTGGTGGAAATCTTGAAGAATGATGATGGTTTTATTTTTTTCATGTTTGAAAATCGGGATTGTTGCATAGATGTCTTAGAGGGAGGACCATGGTATGCGGGAGGTTTCCTTCTCATTCTGAAGCAGTGGTATCGCATGATGAAGCTGTCTAAGGAAGATAAGAAAACTATCCCTGTTTGGGTGAAATTCTATAATATTCCTCTGGAATACTGGTATGGGGATGGTTTAAGTAGGATAGCTAGTGCAGTGGGGGTACCTTTGTTTATGGATCAACTTACATCTTCAGGAAGTCAAATTTCCTTTGCTAGAGTATGTGTGAATATTCTTGCGGATTCTGCTTTCCCTGACAGTTTTGTCATCACTAGTGGTGAAGAGTCTATTACTATCCATGTGGAGTATCAAGGTGTACCCTCTAGATGTTTGCACTGCCATGTTTTTGGGCACGAAACTAAAACCTGCCTCTCTGCTCAAGTGGAGAAACTTGTTGAGTTACAGAAGATCACTGAAGAAAGCGTTGAACTTGATGGGGGCTGGACAAAAGTTAAGGATAAGGGTAAAAGGAAGGTTGGTTACCAACCATCCCCTGACCACAATGTCCATATCGAAGAAACAAGTGCATCTACAACAATGGAAAATGACAGGGTGAATGAAGTCCAGTCTAACGAGGTTGTTATCCATACTGAGATTGAAGAGATTGATGCAAAAAAGCCACAGATCAGATAGCTGCATTCCATGCTGAGGTGGTGGAGATTGTAAAAATCATAAATCCAGTAGCAGAGGACTTTATTAGAAGTATTGAGCAAGCGGGAAGAGATGAAGTGATGGCAAATTCACCCGAGATACAGGGAGGAAAAGGGGATGGTGGAACAAAGGTGGGTAGTTCAACTAAGCAGAAGTCTTCTGGCAGAACTTCAGGAAGCCAGAGGAAGAAAAAGAGGTAAATAGTGTTGTTCTTTTTGTGGTGGTCTGGTTGTGTTCTCTTTTATTTAGATATTTTTATCATGTCTATAAAACTCTTTTTGGAATGTTAGAGGGTTTTGGAAACATGGGCGTTTTGGAAACAAAAATTAAAATGGAAAATGGAGCTAAACTTTTTGAACATAGCTTTAGAAATTGGAAATTTTTGTCTAATTCACAACCAGATTTGCTAGCTAGAATTTGGATATGTTGGGATCCAAACTTTTGTGATATTTTGGTGGTTCAAAATTCAAACCAATTCATTTTTGTAAAGGTGACTGTTTTTTAGAGCAATTTCAATTTCTTTGCTACTTTTGTGTACGCAGAAAATAAGCATGAGCTGAGACTTCCCCTTTTTGTGATCTTAAAAAGATTGCTATTAGCCATGCTAATCACCCCTCAATTTTCCTTTGTGATTTTAACGCTGTTAGATTTTCATATGAAAAAATGGAGGGGAAGGAGGGTTGGTGTAGTGCTAATGATACTTTTAATAATCTGGTTTTGGATTCTGAGTTGGAAGACTTGTGTTACAAGGGGTGTCAGTTTACTTGGTCTAATAAACGCGGTGGTGGTAATTTTATTACTTCAAAACTTGATAGAGTCCTTGTTAACGAGAGGTGGTTAACTGTTAATCCCAACTCGTATGCTCTTTTCCTGCCTCCTGGTGTCTCTGATCATTCACCTGTGATTGTACACCTTGGTCCTGAGGAGGCCAAATTAAAAAAACCTTTTAAGTTCTTTGATTTTTGGGCTGACCATGTTGAGTTCCTCCCTAGAGTGCATGGTGTTTGGAGAAAATACATCAGGGGCTCTCCTATGTTTAGGGTCTGTCAAAAGCTTAAGACTCTAAAACCTATTTTGAAAGCTTTAAACAAAAAGGAGTTCAGTGAGATTTCTACCAGAGTTGGAGTTGCTAAGGATCATCTTCTTAATTCTCAGATTAAGCTTGATAAAGATCCGATGAATTTAACTCTTCAAGAGGAGGAAAGGGCTGCCTATGGTAGATATGTGGATCTTAGTAAAGCTGAGGAAAGTCTTGCTCATCAGAAATCCCGTGTCCATTAGGTTTGGGCGATAGAAATTCCAAATTCTTCTTTAGAGTTGTTAAGGGTAATGTGAATAGGGGTCGGATCCATAGTGTTGTGCTTCCTAGTGGGGTTAGATCGACTAAAAGTGAAGAGGTCCATAAATCTTTTGTGGACTCATTCACTAATCTGTTTGGGAAGCCTTTTGTGGACCACTATAATGGGCTTGATAGGATTAGAAACCTTGTCGCCAAAAGAGTGTCTGAAGCTCAGTACCAAGCTCTTGCTAGGGAAGTTACTGAGAAAGAGATCACTGATGCCTTCAAATCCCTAAAAGCTAATAAGGCCCCTGGCCCTGATGGGTTTTCTGCGGGTTTCTTTCTTAAAGCCTGGGATGTTGTGGGGAGAGAGGTTGTTGAAGCTATTAAATCTTTTTTTACATCTGGGGAGCTCCTTCAAGCATTGAATAGCACCTCCATTGCTCTCATTCCTAAGATCCCTAATGCTGAAAAAGTGGGGGACTTCAGACCAATCTCATGTTGTAACACTCTGTACAAATGCATCTCTAAGATCATTACTGATAGGGTTAAAATTGTTCTTCATGATCTCATTGATCCTGTGTAATCAGCTTTTGTCCCTGGAAGGAGAATTGCTGATAATATTTTTCTTTCACAAGAGCTTATGAGGGGCTATCATAAATCATCACCTATTCCCAGGTGTGCCATGAAATTGGATATTATGAAAGCTTACGATAATGTTAGGTGGGATTTTGTTCTTGATGTCCTAACAGCTATGGGATTTCCTCATAATATTATCCATTGGATAAAAGCTTGTATGACTAGCCCTACATATTCTATTTGTATTAATGGGAGTCTTCATGGCTATTTTAGGGGGGAGAGAGGGTTGAGGCAAGGTGACCCCATGTCTCCATACCTTTTTGTTATAGTCATGGAGATTTTTTCTAGAATTTTGGCTGAGAAGGCTTCTCATCCTGAATTCAAATTCCATTGGAGGTGTGATAAAATGAAACTTGTCAATTTATGTTTTGCAGATGATTTGATGATCTTTTGTAAAGGGGATGTGTTCACTGTCCAGTCCATCAAAACTGGCTTAGAGGAGTTTCAAAACTTGTCTGGTTTGTCCCCTAGCCCTAATAAGAGTCACATTTTCTTTTCTGGGTGTGAACAGAATTTAAGAGATGAGATTCTTAGGATTTGTAACTTCAGTGAAGGCACTTTGCCTGTGAGGTACTTAGGGGTTCCTTTAGTCTCTACTAAACTTAAAGCTACTGATTGTGTTCAACTTGTGGAGAGAATAACAAAGAGGATTAAAAGCTGGACTAATAAGTGTCTCACTTATGCTGGTAGAGCCCAGCTGATACAATCTGTTCTTTTCTCTATGCAAGTGTTCTGGACCTCTTTGTTTATTCTTCCAAAGAAGGTCATTCGTTCCATAGAGAGTCTGTTTAGAGCCTTTTTCTAGTCTGGCTGTGAGCTGAAGAAGTATGGGGCTAAGGTGTCTTGGGATAGATTGTGTTCCCCTAAGAATGAAGGGGGCTTGGGGTTTAAATCTCTTATGGTGTGGAACAAGGCTACTATTGCTAAGCATATCTGGTTCCTCTTCTCTAGGGGTGAGCAATCTATGTGGTGCCTATGGATTAAATCTTATATTCTAAAAGGTAGAAGTTTTTGGAGAGTTAGGGTGTCAAATGACCCCTCCTGGGTTTGGAGGAAAATTCTTTCTCTTAGACCCATCATTTACCCTTTAATCAAACATAGGGTGGGAGATGGGTCCAGTGTATCTCTTTGGTTTGATAACTAGCACCCTATGGGATTTGTGTGGGATAGATTTGGGGTTAGAATTGTTTATGATTCTGCCTTGAGTCTAGATGCTAAGGTTAGTGCGATTGTGGAGGGGACTACTTGGAGGTGGCCTTTCCCTTCTTCATGGGAGCTTATGGACCTCATTGCTAGTACTCCTTCCACCTTTCTCCCTTCTGGTGGGTCAGATGATGTTAGTTGGAGCCCTGCTTCTAATGGTAAATTTACTATCCAGTCTACATGGCACTCATTAAGGCAACATTTTGATCATGTGAACTGGTCTAAGATTTTTTGGGGGCCTCATAACATCCCTAAAGTGAGTTTTGTGGTGTGGATAGCTATCCTTGGCAGATTGAACACTGGAGATAGATTAAAACTCTTTGGTGTGACCCAATCTACTGAGTGTGTCTTCTGCCAACACCCATGTGAAGACCACAACCACCTTTTCTTTGAGTGTCCTTTCTCTGAAAGAGTTTGGGCCTGTATAAAAGGTAAAATGAATGTTGATTGGCCATCAATTCCTTGGAAGTCTTTAGGGACTATTATTACCAAGCTTGCCTTTACTTGTATTGTGTACCAGTTATGGATTGCTAGGAATAATAGAGTCTTTAGTAAGGATATGGTCCCTGAAGAGGTGAGCATATACAATGTGGGATTTCCTAATGTTTGTTATTGTTATAGGTATGCGAATTACAGGAAAAGGGAAGCTTGAGTGTGTGCCATATTTTATGAGGGTTGAGTATAGTGTGAGGAATAAACTAACTCCAAACCCAATATTACTAGCCATATTGAGAGGGACATTCACACCATACTGATAGATGGTACTTGAGCTCATGGAGACTACCTCATACTCTGTTGAAGCATGCTGTATCTGTTGAGATAGATGTGAGTTCAAAAACTGTGGGTTGAGTGATGGTAAGCATATACAATGTGGGATTTCCTAATGTTTGTTATTGTTATAGGTATGCGAATTACAGGAAAGGGGAAGCTTGAGTGTGTGCCATATTTTATGAGGGTTGAGTATAGTGTGAGGAATAAACTAACTCCAAACCATATATTACTAGCCATATTGAGAGGGACTAACATGTTTCTATATATTTCCTGTATTTGTTATTTTTGCAGGTATATGGAGCAATATTTCTCGAGTGATGTGAGCTTATATATTTGTGGGTTGAGTGTAGTGAGCATCTATATGTGTGGTGTAAAATGTGACCTGCTATGTTATTATTGGTTTGTGGACCTAATAATCTTGTCTCGGTATCTGTTGTTTACAGGGTATACTATAATGTCTAAGCTCTGTTTGGGATGCATGGGGTGGCAGAACAGTACTTCTTCTGATGGTGATGTCTGTTTCGGGATTAGCCTTGGTTCCTTCGAGCTGGGGAACTGACTGTGTTTGCATGGTTGGCTGCTGGAGGCGCCTCTTTGTGTGAAGAAAGATTTTATTTTATGTTGCTTTGCTTAGTTTGTTTTGGTATATGGCCTACCTGTGCGGGCTGTGCACGGGGGTACAAAAAAGATTGGTTACTCTTGGCTTTTTGTTACCTAGTTGTATGGGTGTGTTCATGTTCCTCATCTAATTTTCATGCGGCCCATGAACACATTTTTGGGGTTATTTTCTACTATGATTGAGTTCCTTAGTTTAATTTTATTTTTTCTTTCTTTCTATTTCCTTTTGATCAATTAGATATGTTATGTTAACAGTTTTAACAGTTTATACTGGTTTGGTTAAGGCCCCTTCGGCTTTGGTTTGTTTATTTTAGTCTCATGGTCCTGTTTCTTGTATAGTGCTTTGGCTTAGGGCCTGGGGTATGCCCCTTGTAGTGGTGTAAGTTTTTTTGTCTTTTATTTTATGACTTATCCACCCAAAAAAAGGTATTTTAACATACCAAAAACTCTTGCCTTTGAGTAAGTAAGACTT